GGGGGCCCACCCTCCGGGAGCCAGCAGGCAGGAAGCTAGCCAGCCAGAAGGCTGGCGCTCCCCACCCGCAGCTCCCTGTGCGCCGGAAGCCCTCCTTCCGGGAAACCCTGAGGCCGGGAGTATGGTTTATTACATTAATGGATTTGCATATATTGAACCATCCCTGAATTCCTAGAATGAATCCCACTTGGTCATGGTGTATAATCTTGATGATTTGTTCCATTCTGTTTACTAGTATTTTATTGAGAATTTTTACATCTATTTTCATTAGGGAGATTGGCCTGTAGTTCTCTTTTTTGGTTGGGTCTTTCTCTGGTTTTGGTATCAGGATAATACTTGCCTCTAGGAATGAGTTGGGGAGAATTCCTTCCCTTTCAATTTCATTAAAGAGTTTGAGAAGACTTGGTGTTAAATATTCTCAAAATGTCTTATAGAATTCAGCTGTGAATCCATCAAGACCTGGGCTTTTCTTCATTGGCAAGTTTTTATTAAATTTGCAATTTTTCATGCTGATACTGAGTTATTCAGGATTTTTGTATCTACTTCATTCACCTTTGGTAATTCATATGTATCTAGAAATTTGTCCATTTCCTCTGTGTTTTCCATCCTATGAGAGTAAAGATTTTTGAAGTAGGTATTCATGATCTTCTGAATTTCTACAGGATCTGTAGTGATTTCATCCCTTTCATTCCTTATTGTGTGTATTTCAGTTTTTTCTTTCCTTTTTTTAAGGTTGGCTAGGGGTTTATTTATTTGGTTTATTCTTTCAACAAACCAATTCTTTGATTCATTAATTCTTTCTTTTTTTTTTTTTTTAAAGTCTCCATTGTATTATTTTCTGCCTGAGCTTTATATTTTCCTGTCTTCTTTGGGCTTTGGGCTTGACTTGCTCCTCTTTTTCTAGAAGCTTGAGGTACAGCATAAGATTGTTTATTTGTGCTCATTCTCTTTTCCTGAGGTTGGAATTCATCGCTATAAATTTTCCTCTGAGGACTGCTTTCATTGCATCCCATAGGTTCCTATAAGTTGTATCTACATTTTCATTTGATTATAAATAGTGTTTAATTTCTTTGATTTCATCTGTGACCCATTGGTTTTTTCTAGTATAGTTATTTTAAAAGAATTTTCTTTTTCTTTTCTCTTTTTTTTGCAGTTTTGGGGATTGAACCCAGAGCCTCACATTGAGCTACATTTCTAGCTGTTTTTAAATATTTTTAAACAAAATCTCAGTCACTAAGTTGTCCAAGCAGGGCTTGAACTTGTGATCCTTCTGCTTCAGTCTAGAGTGCTCGGATTGCAGGTGTGCAGCACTGTGCCCAACCTTAAATAAATTTTCTGGAATGTAAAAATCAATTCCTCTTTAGTTATTTTCTAGAACCGTCCCTTAGTCAGTTTTGGAGATTATGTGAGCAACTGCTGGTTTCCTTCTGCACATGTGCTTTTTACAGTTTTGGAAAATATGCCCCATGGAGCACATTTTGGTTCGTCTGGAAACAGAGTCTCGACCTGTATCTAGACGCCTGGTGAGCCTCATCTTCAACTCCTTCCTGCCTGTGAACCAGCCGGAGGAGATCTGGTGTGAACGCTGTGTCACGCTGATCCAGATGAATCCTGCAGCTGCCCGGAGGTTCTATCAGTATGCCCACGAGCACACCGCCTGCACCAACATAGGTCTGACTGCCCTCCCGCCCTGGCCTGGCGCATGTTCCCGCTGTTCCCAGGCTTTGTCACTTTAAGAAGCTCCATGCTTTAGTGCATTTCTTAATGGTTTCCTTTAAAATAACTTAAGTAATTGGGATTATAATTTCCCTGTTCGAAGTTAATTTTGTAGGGGAGACATCTAAGTTAATTGTTATTAAACATTTTAGCAAAGCTGATCCATGTTATTCGCCACTGCTTGAACGCCTGTATGCAGAGGTCATTACAAGAGCTTCCACAGGACCAGGAGGAGCGGGAGAAGGAAAACGTGAGCGTAAGTCTTGAACATTAACTTAATGGGGTCACTTTTCAGACTGCCATGTCAGTGTTGTTTTTCTTTTTTTGTCTTTTTGAGACAGGGTCTCTCTGTGCAGTTCAGGCTGGCCTTGAGCTCACTTTGTAGCCTAGGCTGGTCTCGAACTCACAAACATCCTCCTGCCTCAGCCTCCCAAGTACTGGGATTACAGGGGTGTGCCACCACGCCCGGTTTTATTTTTTCTACTTGTTCCGTATTATTGTTTCTACTATTACTAGTAGTATTGTTTCTACTAGTAGAATTACTAATAGTAGTATTGTTTCTACTTAGTATTGATAGTATATTGGAGATAGCTCTAGCTCTAGATATGGTACTGATTCTATAGTACTGACACTAAAGCTGAGGTTTTTCATAGCCTCTAATACAAGGTTCTACTAAACATCTTGGGGCTGAATTTCTGCTCATGAGCTGTATAGAATTGTCTTTTGACGTGAGTTATCAAAGGAACTCTTTGCCTCCTGTTTTTTAAGAATCCAAAATGTCCAATTATAGTAGAAGAAAACAGTATTTAAGACTTGGGCATACTACTTACCAGTAATAAGCTGTGTCATCTAAAGTAAAATTTGGGGGTTTTGAAGCATCTGGTTAGATAAGGAAGCTGACCTGTGGAAGATCAAAAGCAATTTCCCTTTGCGGAAACCGGGCTGGTGTGCTCACCAGGCAGGTCCTGAGCCCACAGGGGCTCTTCTCCCATCTGGAGAAGCAGACAGGTGCCCAGACTCTGCCTCTTCCACAAGTGGCTTCTCAGCTAGTGTCAGCGGTCCCAGCACATTCCCTTTACACTCCAGCAGGCCACTAGCTATATCCCTGCCTAGCTGTTTCTCTTTTCTCACTGTCCCACAGACAGTTAAACTAGGCTGAAATTATTCAGCAGGAATTTTGCTGAAAAGGTATAGGGAAACAGATGTGCAGTAGAGGAACAAGAGTATAAGGAGATTCTTCCATCACCACAAAAGGAAGTCCCTACTGAACACTCAGGGTGGGCGGGTGGACTCTGAGCCCCCTCTTGGGATTCCCCTCACTGTGTGACAAGAGGGTCCCAAACTTCTCAGGGAGGCAGTTCCTGGAACCGGGCTGGTGACACAGCATGCTGATTTTACCATGCTCATAGGGGCTTTCCAGAGACCAGCTGTGTACAGACAGTGCTGATGGGCAGACAGTGAATGCACCCAGGTGTGGACAGACAGACAGCCTCTCTGGGCCACTGTGCACTGGCACTGGGATTGGAAATGCTTTTGCAAAGGGAAAGACATGTTTGGATTGCCTTAGTTGAGAGGCTTTTATATTTCTAAATACTGAAGGAATTCTTCACCTCATTGTTTATACTTAGACATTATTGAGAAAGCTTGCATTGTAATCTTTTAGGTCAAGTTCTGTGTCACTAGAAAAGACAAGAGTTTAGAAATATGTAGTCCTGTTGTATCCTATGCAAAAAAAAGTTTACGTAACTTGTCATATAGGTATTTGCATTCTAGACAGGGGTTTAAGAATACATAGCCACATTTTAACCTGTGTTAGAAAAAATACAATTTGTCATATATGTGTAGCAGTTCTCATTGTAAGAATGTCTATATGGCTAGAGGCAAAATTTTTTGAAGTATCCCTTTAAGCCTTTCTTGTCAACAGCTAAAAACCGAAGATGTTTTCTTATAAAATAAAAGGTGGCCTCATCTTTAATGAACTACTACTTAGGAGTTTACTATATTTTTCAAGTGATGTTCACGAAAGGGTTATGGTGTTTTTCTTATGAAAGCTTATGGATGAGCCTGCTGTGCTGAATCATGGGCTTCTTTAGTTTATTGAAAAAACTATGTCTATTTATATTTTCCTGAGCATGTGCTGATAATACGTGGTAACCGAATACCTGAAAGCTTGGTGTAAACCACAAAGACATTATGATAAATCCCCTTATACTCACAGAGCTGGAATGGGAAAAAGTAAAGTTAAGTGCAGAATGAAGACTTACTATCAGTTTGCTTTTTAGATTGTTCTTCTGGTAGCTTCTAAACCCTGAAGAGTTTCTTTGCTTTGTAAATTTGAGTGTCCGTGATATGTTTGCCCCCATTGAGTGCAAGTCAAAACAGCTAACTTTATGTATAAGCCACATTTGCTTTTCTGTGTACCTTGGTTAATAAGATTTAATTTTTCCCAGTCTCACACTTGAGTAGTTAGCAAAAAAAATACCACATGTGAACTGAATCATCTTGTCTATCCCAAGATAACCTTGGCTCTGGAGCCAGTTGCTAGAGGCAAAATTTTTTGTAGTATGTGTGACAGTTTTTTGTCACACAGGCCTCCTAGGCAGGGCCTCCAGTGAGTGTGTATGTGTCACTGGGGCAGTGATGGTCAGTGGTACAGATGAAGGTATCTGGTGGTGTTGGCTGCATAGTGCTACCAGCTCTGTGGATAGAAGGGATTTACTAGAGCATATTTGTGGTTTACACGGTGTATTTGGGTCTGTGATCATTGTGCAATACCAGCATATGTTCAGGAAAAGATAAATGACAAAAACCAGACGCCTGCCCTGTAGTGGGTGTTGGTCCTGAGCCATCGTCATTCCAGGTTCAGGGCTGACTCAGACCGAAGTGGTGGCACTGGGTTCTGCTGGGCATGAACAACGTAGAATTAGCTTAGAATTTATTTCTCGGGTAGGATTTGAAAAAATATTTACCCTCTTAGTAGATACTCTAAAATAGAGAATCAAGTCATATTAAGGTGTGAACAGTAGACTTGAGATTCTTCACATTTGTGCCTTAGGTCTATAATTCTGAAGTGTGCTTTTGGTGATAGCACTGTCTCTCAATACTTGTTATTACATTCTTTCACAATAACATTGTTTGTGTCTTAGGTTCTGGACAAAACACTGTCAGTAAATGATGTTGCATCCATGGCAGGTTTATTAGAAATCATTGTGATTCTCTGGAAGAGCATCCATAGAAGTCTGGAAAATAATAAAGAGGCCAAAGTTTATACTGTTAACAAGTTCGCCTCTGTGCTTCCAGAGTACCTGAAAGTATTTAAGGTAAGTCTTGGGCCACCAGCAAGGGAAGTATGTCAAGATTACATTGGCTTAGGATTTGGGAGATGTTACTAGCATGTTTACCCCCATGTGAGTTTGTCATCTCTATCACTGGAATATTGAACTCACACTTACCTTGCCATGTGATTGATGTTTCTTGGCCTCTGCTTCATAGCACAGTATATACTGTGAGCTCTTGCTTTTGTGCTCTAATGGCCACACATACTCTAGAGTCCAGGACTGTGCAGGGTTGGAGGAGGAGGCTTGTTGAGCAGGAGGTGCACTTGCACCAGCCTCAATCCTTTCCACAGCCTGGAGGTACCTGGAGCAGACGTGCCCTGGCACTAGGGTCATGTTTGTCACCAGAGCACACAAAACTATCTGTGAGATTCCTTTTTCTTGAGGCAAGGTCTTGCTATGTAGTGCAAGCTGGTCTTAAACTCATTTTGTAGCCCAGGCTACAGGCTACAGTGATCCTCTTGCCTTAACCTCCCTAGTGCTGGGATTACAGGTAGGCACCGCCACACCCAGCTTATTTTTTTAAAAAAAAAAGTGTTTTCTTAATTAACAGATAAAACTTATATGTACTTACTGTATTTGACCTGTTTTGAAATACATCTACCTTGTGGAATGGCTAACCAAGCTGTATAATGCATATGTTACCCACATACTTAGCAATTTCTGTGGTGAAAACACTTAAAATGTGTTGTTAGGGATTCCTGAGAATGCTGTACAATCTGTTGTTGTCAACTATTGTCACTCGCTGTGTAGAAGGTCTCTTGAACTTGCTGTTTCTGTCCCGCTGGAACGTGTGTCCTGTGATGAGCAGCTCTCCCCTTCCTTGCCCCGCCTCACTCCTGGCAGCCACCGTTGTCTCTCTCTGTGTGGTTTCTTTTTGGTTGAAGGAAACCCTCTCACTCCTAGACTTTTTATTTCTGAAGAAGTTCAGGTATCTTTTGTTTCATTGGTACTGGGGATGGAATGCAGGGCCTCATGCATACTAGGCAAGAGTTCAATCACTGAGCTATATCTGAGCCTTGCAGAAAGTTCGTATTTCAAAAACCAAATTTAAAAAAAGATTAACTGTTAAACATGCAAAGTTATTCCCAGCTATAAAAAAGCATAATTTAAATACAAAAATATAATGTGTATCTTTTGAACCACCCTTCCTGAATGTTACTCTATGGTCTACTTCTGAACTGTGTGTGACTCTTGGGCCACTTAACTTTGACTGTGTGTCCTTGTTTCTGTGATGGTCAAGTCTCTGACCTTCAATCTCTTCCTGAAAGGAAAGCATGGCCTGCCACACAGGCAGATCATCTCAATTGCTAAATTCACTAGTAAATTTTAAAGCCCAGCTTATTACTGTGGATTGAGAAACCAGCATTACTTCAGAAACCTCAGAAGGTGACCAGAAACATGGGGCTAGGTTGGCAGATGAGTAGGGTGTGGGGTTTCTAGGGCCAAAGGGCAGTGGTCAGTTAATCCTGGTGTTTGTGAGTGGCTTCTCTGCTGCCAGAAGCTGAGATAGGCTGTGTCCCCTCCTTTGAAGCAATGGACATGAGCTACACCTTAGTCTCCTTGTAGCATTAAGAGTGGATCTCTGTCTCTATTGGGAGTTGGGGGCCAGGCGTTAACTGAATGCGCATGAAGAAAACATCAGATTTTGGTTTTGCTTCTGTTTCTGTTTCACATATATTTTCAGGAAAATTATTTTTTTTTTCTTTAGAATTCACCATGCCAGACAAGAATGTTTCTTGTGGGTTGTTCTTGACGGAGTCTCAGCAGTTAAAATCTGCTTAAGTTACATCATTGTTGCAATAGTGAGGTTTAGTTTTCCCTTTAAACATCAAAAGGAATTATAAGAGGGACTTGGGGAATGGATGATTGGAAGTCATGAGGAGAGGTTTTCAGAATGTCTGAGTGTCACAGATCCTGTCTCCGTATCTTCCTAGGATAATCGCTGCAAGGTCCCTTTGTTCATGCTGATGTCCTTTCTGCCAGCATCTGCCGTCCCTCCATTCAGGTATGCTGCAGTGTGGCAGAACCTTGGCTGTGGTCCTGGCCCAGTCACTGACTACCTGTGTGGAGCTTTCACTTCTATGCCCTCCTGTGCTGGTGGCAGGATGTGCTCATGGTGAGCTCTGGGGCTGTTGAATAATGAGAGAGGCCCTGAAGATCAAAGGCTATAACTGATTGAAAGTCTTGGGGTTGTTTTGACACCTAGTGTGGTGAGACAGAGAGCTGTGGCCACTGCTGACCTCAGGCGGCTCTGAGCTCTTGTGACCTCTGGATTGAGATGTGGCGTGAGCACAGAATGCATATAAAACCAGAGTTAGGGTGTGAAAGGAAGAACGTTAAATATTATGTGCTAAAATGATGTGGATAAATTGGGTTAAATAAGATACGTTATTGAAATTCGTTTTACTTATTTTTCTTTACATTTTGAAATATGGTGCAAAACTTTAAATTGCAAGCCAGATTTCTATACTACTTTTCCTTCTTTTTTTTTTTTTTTTTTTAAAGCGCTAAGGGCCTGTGCTTGCTCGGCTAGTGTCTTGCCACTGAGCCACACCCATCTTCTTTTGCGTACTGTTTTCTGTTGGATACTGTAGTTCTAGTGGCTTGTGGTTTGGTTACTTCAGTACAAAAAAAAGTCTTTTGGTGCCGAACAAAAATTAACCCCTGGAATTAGAAACTCTTGCTCTAAAATCTGAGAGGGATGGCACAGAAAGAACGAAAGGCTGTGTTTTGGGGGTCCTTGATCTTTTAGCGCTCTCAGAAGCAATTCTGCATGCATTGTTCCAGGGGAAACTCGTCTTCCTTCCATGTTGTTAATGTTATAAGAGGAACCTGCACACCTCAGCATGTTCCTCACTTTGGGGGAGGCAGGGACCTTGCTGTTGAAATGTGAACTTGGTTTTATATACTTGACATTTTCAGCTGTGGGGTGATCTCCACCTTGAGGAGCCAGGAGGAGGGCGCTGTGGACAAGAGCTACTGCACCTTGCTGGACTGCCTGTGCTCCTGGGGACAGGTGGGGCATGTCCTAGAGCTCATCGAGGACTGGCTACCGGTGGAGCAGCCACAGGCCAAGGTGTGTGTGGGCCTTCTGTGGAGTCTGGCAAGGAGGGACAATGTATGTTGGAAATTTCATCCTCTTCTGGGAATGTGATTTCCAACTGTCTGACTATCCCTGTGCCTGCCTCAGAATAAGCGTAAAGTACAGATCCAGGACACACGCCCAGTGAAGCCCGAGTTGGCCTTAGTCTACATGGAGTACTTGCTATCCCATCCAAAGAACCGAGAATGTCTACTCTCTGCACCCAGGAGGAAACTTAACCAACTTTTGAAAGCACTTGAGATGTCAAAGGTAACTTTCTGCCCTAAAAATGGAGGCTGGTAACAAGTTCTGAGTTGAAAAGGAGGTGAGAGCAAAAGTCCACAGGTCACTGAGCCAGCTGGTGAGCCTGGCAGCAGAGCCACTTCCCAGCCCTGGTCTTCTTGCAAGAGGGGGCAGACCCAAGTGGGACCTGGCTGGTCTCCTGCTTTTCAGAACATATTCTCTTTGGGAAGACTTGTACACGTGAGTCTGGCCCACCAGGGGAAATACCAGCTCCCTTCAGTGTCCTTGGCAAGTCTTTTCAGGAGTCTCGGAGAGTATTTGGTGTGAATTCATGGGGCCCCAGCATTCCACGGAGTTCTGTTTCCTCCTCCAGCACCGTCACCACTGCCACCCTGAGTGGTTGTACAGTAGGGCCAGGTGCAAGGTGGGGTCTGCAGCACAGCACTGGTGCCTGGCAACCTCCTCCCAGGCTGGTGTCAGGTGCCAAAACGGCTGGGCAGGTGTCACCTGAGGAGGTGTCATGGTTCACCAGCACTTGTAGTCAGGTGCCTCCTGTTTTGGTCATGTGTGCTCAGAATGTGGCTCTGAGGCTGTGACATTACTTAGGCAGATCTGGAGTCACTTCTGCAGTCACCAGGTGGGAAGTCCCCGAACTTCAGTGAGTCTGCTGCCCTGAAAGCCTTCAGCCTCCACTGCCGGCTGAGCATCCATCTTGAGCACAAGGTGTGTGGCAACCCTTCTGGCCTGGGCAGCTCAGCTCAGGGCCACTTTCTCACTGATTCACCTCTCTGTGGTTGTGTTGCGCAGATGTGCTCTGAAGGGAAAGTCCATCTATCTGTCTTGGAAGACACTGGGTTTTGGTTAGAAAGCAAGGTTTTGGCTTTAATTCAAGACCAAGAAGAAGAACACCTGAAGCTCCGCAGGGTTGTTTATCAGCAAATCATCCAGGTCAGTACCATGGGCTGCAGGTCCTTGGTCCTTTTCTCTTTGAGAGTATAATTTTACACCTTGGTGTTAGTCTTTTTAAATGCTTATAGTGGCATTTAAATGGCAAGAGTTTGTTTTTTCATAAACTGCATAGTTTTAATATAATTTTTACATTGCATGTGACAAGTGTTTGGTTGGGAGAGTTACATAAAATACGCCTCTAGAGGCCAGGGATATAGCTCAGTGGCACAGCCCCTGCCTGGCAAGCGCAAGTTCCTGAATTTGATTCCTGGTCTCCCCCACCCCAAATATATGTCTCTAGATTTCTTATGGAGACAAAAATAAGGTTGTAAATGTCTGGTCTGGGGTAACTAGTGTACCATGTAGCAGCAGCTTTGTCAGGCCTGTGTGGCTCCTTTCTTAATGGCCTCTGCTGGTAACCCCACTTTTCCCCTACAGACCTACCTGACCGTGTGTAAAGACGTTGTTATGGTTGGCCTTGGAGATCCGAAGTTTCAGATAAAGCTTCTACAGCGGAGTCTTACGATCATGCAAACAGGCACAGTATACACCATCCATTAAAGGCTGTTTTAGAGTACTAAGTCAAAACCTGTCTGTCTCCTTCCCTTACTTTGTAGGTCAGGACTCTGACTGACCAGTGTCAGATATGTGATACAAACCAGCTTATGCTAAAAGAGCATTGGCTAGTGCAGCCAGCCTGTTCAGAGGTATTTCTGGTGTCATGCGTGACCATCTAGCTTGTGACAAGATCCTTGGGATTCTTCTTATGTCTGGGGTCTGTTTCATTGCCAGGCTGACTTTCCCCACCTGGGATCTGTGTAATGAACCTCAGAGAGGAGCGCAGATTGGTCCTCTCTGGTATGTGCTGCTGAGGGTGGGGTGAGTTGGGAGTTGTTGGGTAATGCCCCCACCCCACCAAGGAAAAGGGGTAGCATGGGTCACCTATGGCAGCTAGTAACATGACACCACAGTGGCTTCTTGGGTAGTCATGAGGGAACGAAAGGGGAGCTACTTAGGGTCCTGGAGGAAGGGGCATGTGTGATATGGCCCAGGAAGGCGACTCATCTGGTACTGGTGCCAGGTCTCTTTCACCTTCTGATCAATCTCTGGCCAGAAAGGAAACAGCTTGTCTGTGATCCCCGACCCAACCTTAACCCTGGCCCCTCACCCTTAGTGCTCACTAATCCTTAATCTTTTTTTTTGAGGTTTCTGTGACCCAGGGGTCACCTTGCTGCCATCCTTTTTTTTATTTTTTAATTTTTTTTTTATTTTAAAGAGTAAAAGAAAGATAACATAGTAATAGGGGGGGCTTACCGAATTATAGACAGAGTGGTAGGAAATTATCAATGGTTGTTGTTTTACATATTGTTATCGACAAGATAGTTTCTCAGGACAACAAATACACAAATAATAGTTACAGACAAAAGTGGTAGGTTATTATCAATGGTTGTTGTACTGTACTTTCGTGTCTTCAAAGTGGTTTCTAAAGAAAATAGAGTTATACATGAGTGACCAATTGAATATTCATTGACTATTCTCAATGGTTGTAGGAAACGCATAGTAATAAACATACATCCCTTTACGAAATAGCATGGGAACAATACAGACATTACAGAGTTATGGACAGATTAGTAGGAAAATATCAATGGCTGCTGTAATACATGGTGGTCCTTAATCTCTTAACCCTAGCTCTTAACCACTAGCCTCTAGCTCCAGTCCTCTGTGATGTGGGCTGTTTCTAGGTAATTTTTTATGACACATCCGTATTACTGAGACGTAGGGAAGCATCAGCATCTGAGATTTATATTTCTTTATGCCTAGAAGTTTGCTAGAGGAGACTGAGAGTGACATCCCAAGTAAGCTAGGTTTCATAGTCTGTGGTCAAGTGATAATTCATCTGTAGTGTTATTCCCAAAGTCTGAACATGTCTCTGCAGACCCGAGAGGGTCTTGTCTCCTCCCTGCATGGTTCCTGGAGCTGGTACTTTGGGAGCACTGGTGCCTGGGACCTTGGTCAACAACCTTAAGATAGTCTTTGATTACAAGTAAGGTTATTTATTCATGTTAAAATGTCCGCAGTCAAAGAGTAAACATTAAGTGGAACCAGTATTTGTTTCAGGGTCTAATTTTACTGTTTAAATTCTTTATTGTGGGGGCTGGGGATTTAGCTCAGTGGCACAGCGCTTGCCTGGCAAGCGCGAGGTCATGAGTTCGATTCCCAGTACCAGAAAAAAATCAAAAAGAAAAAAAAAATGAGAAAATTCTTTATTGTGAAAACTGCATTGTATTCTTGAGCTTAATGGTGAAAACAGTCAAAATAATTTTTTAAGCTTATTAAGAATTATTTTTCTATTCTTGGTTATAAAATTTACTTCTCTGAGAAGGTAACTAGAATTGTAGATCTCCTGTTAGCCAATTTCATCATTTAGTGTTGTGTTCCCTCCAAATAAGGCCCCAAACTGTTCCCTTGATTTGTAACCAAACTAATGGGACCTTTATATTTACATGTTCTAGTAACAGGGTTTCCAGGATGAAAGCACGGGGTAGCCATTCCATAGCTGTCACAAATGTTCCTGGGTATATAGTTAACCATTTAGCCAGGTAGACCCAGAATCTACTTATTTGCTGGACTTTTTGTCCTATGTGAAAGAGTTTCAATATACAAACCATTTTCATTTAAGAAATTAGTTACCTTTTCATCATTTTATTGGAACATCTGTCATGCTGAAATGTGTACTAAACAAGAGGTATTCCTAGAACACAGCAGGGGTGGCCCAAGCTCATAAACATGTGGGTGTTCCTGCTATAACAGTATTGGACTGGATGTATTTCAGTGGTAGGGCACTTGGTCTAGCATGCACAAGGCCCTGGATTCAATCCCCAACATCACCAAAAAAAACCAAAACAAAATGAAACAACAAAAACCACACATACGTATGTTTTGAAAAATACCGTGCATTCTGTAATATCGAGCACTAAAAATAACCAGATCATGGAAAAAGAAGACTTCCTAGTAAAAAGTATCAGCATAAATAAAAAGGAATGTTAAGTTCGTAAAAAATAAGATTATACTAAATGTGGGCCTTTGTCTTAATGAAAAGGGAAAGGAAATTGATGTAGAGGGATGTCAGGCAGGCTGAGGTTGCTGCATCCTGGAGGCCAAGGCCAGCCATGGACAGCATCAGGCAGCACAAGGTGGCCCTCAGCTCATAGAGCATCCTGGTTCTTATTGAGCTGCTTGTTCACTGACAGAGCTCTTGTTGAAAGAACTGTGGGAACCAAGATTCCTTCTAGACTGACAGCTTTCCTCTACTTAGTGATGGGCTGTGAGCTCACACATCTTTGAGAGGCGAACCCTGGTACTGTGATTTCTCCCAGATCAGTGCCTCCTGCATGAGGTTGCTGGGCTTAGGACTAGCCCTTCGCTGTTTGTACTAACCAGTACCTGTTACCTATTTGGTTTGCAAGATACATATGCTTGAACATAAGAAACTTTCTAGTTTGTAGCTCATATGGTTTTGTGAACCTTAGTGTGTACTTACCCTGAGGACAGATGCAGGAGGATGGCCACACTTATCTGTCAGATGTTTGGTCTATAGTGTATGGTGGAAGCTCAGCAACATCTCTTTACCACCCCACACTGGGTTCCAGCAGAAAAGCAGATGTGAGGAAGGTGTCCTTCCACTCTCTTTTGAGTAGGAGAAAGTCTGAAAATTTCTGTTGTGGCTTTAGAGATATGACAGGTTTTTTTATTATGGCGGACCATAAGTCTTTCTAGAGGGTAAACTAGGGTGCATGATTATAGAAACTGGCACAAAAAAGGGTCTCTTACTTTATGGGGTAGATTTGGATTGTGGACAGGGGTCTCAAGAGGAGCCTGTTGTACCTTTTACTCTGTAGGCTGAGGTGTTTGCCCCTGTCTCTAGGCCTGTGTTCTCAGCAATCCTCCTTTACCGCCTCAGTTCTGTGCTTTATTGCATGATTGTTTTACTTTAAATACATGGGGACTCTAACAAGGCATCTTGAGGCTTCAATCCTGCCCTCATCTGTGCTATCTTGCCCTTGGCCCACAGTGACCCATGTGGCTGTGTGTCAGAGGGGACAAGATCACTTAGACACATTGACATCTCACAAGTGCAAGTCACTGGCTTTGCTTTTGTAGATCAGTTTACCAACAGGACTGTTCATGAAGAAAAAGGAAAAGTCAAGACCCGAGGATGAATCATAGCAGTAGGTTAGTTATGAGTTGATTTTACCAAATTAATGGTACATAGTTAAGTTGATTATTTGGAAGAGAGAGACAACTAGTAAGCTACTCTCAAGTGTTAGAAATTTTATAGTTCCTCCGTGAGATACATCATGTTTCAGGAATTCTCAGGCCATCTTGGTTGTGCCTATTATAGCAGATTGTTGACTTTCCTCATAAGAGACAAATAATTTAGGTGTTCTAGGAATTATAACCAAATTGCTGTGTGTTTACTGCTGCAGGGAACAAAGTACCAGTACAGTATTACTGCTTTTGGAAGTGTTGGGTTTATACTTAAATGGAGCAAACCATTTTTATTCAGGTTAGAATTTAGAGCAGTCTGACCAACCTGGTATAAGTATTGGTTCATAGTAATAAATTCTTTTCACTTGCCATTATTTACATGTATTAAAATATTTCAACTAACTATGCCTGAGTATGCCTAATTATAACTGATTTTTCCCATTTCTTTCTAGTAAAAGGATTTTTTTATGTGTCTTTACTTCTTGGCATTCTGAAAGAGGTCACTGGAAGTTCTTTGATTCAGAAAAGAGATTCAGATGAAGAAATTACAGTGCTGTTTGATACAGTCCAGAAAGTATTTCAGAAAATGTTGGAATGCATGGCACGGAGCTTCAAGAAGCAACCGGAAGAAGGCCTGCGGGTACTGATACCCTCCAGCAGACTTTGGGCTGAGGGTGTTTGCCCAAGGGTTGACAGGGCTGAGCTGTGTGGAGATTGTAGCTGCTCAGGGGTGGTTGGGGGCTCTGCTGCAGACACCCTGTAGTGCCTACTGTGTCTTCTGGGGGCTCACTCCAACGGTTCTCTGAACCAGGGAGGTAGGCGGAGTCTAGATCCTGGGTCTCAGGCGGCCCCCAGGCTCAAAGCAGGATTTCAGGAGTTCCCACCCTCTAACCACAGCACAGGAAGCAGATCTGATTGCTGTAGCCCCTGCATGCACACAGTTACTTCCAGAATTTTCCAGACAGAATAGACTCAAAGATGCTAATTTTTATTATTTGTGGAGTGGCAGAGACTGTATCCAGGAGAAATGCTGTTTCCCATTGTAGGAATTCTCCCACTGCCTGTAGCTTCTCCCCTGGTGGGAAGCAGTCAAGGACAGTTCGCTGTCGATGGTGGAAGGCTGATGTACAGTGAAAGTGTTGATTCATATAAAAAGGTCTGGGCGCTGGGTGTGTAGTGCACATCTATGCTCCCAGCCTCTCAGGAGGCTGAGGCAGGAGGGTAGACACCCCAAGGCTAGCCTGGGCTACATAGTGAGACCCTGTCTGAAAAATTTTTTAAAAGATAAAAGCGCTGGGGATGTAATTCAGTGTGAAAGCCCTGGGTTCAATCACCAGTAATGCAAAACAACAAAGAAATGTGCCAGATTACTTTGCTCCTAAAAGTAATGTAATGCCAATTTCTGAACAAATTCATGTTATAAGAGCAAATCATTACTTTTTCTGTTGGTGAGCTGTTATTTTTTAATGAAGAATCTAAAAAATGTTTAAATAGGTGACAGCTTTTATAAAATATTTAAGACTTTCAGTTTTATTGTAGCCTTAGCTGATGGAAGGAACTGAAGTTTATTGGCCATATTTTTCCTAACCTCATTCATATCTGAATTCATTTGAAATGTCTTTTGTTTTTCATGCATTGTTTTTAGTGTCTGTGATCTGTTTGTTTATTTATTTTTTGTCTTTTTTTTTTTTTGAGACAAGGTCTCACTATGCAGTTCAGGCTGGCTTTGAACTCACTTTGTAGCCCAGGCTGGTCTCAAACTCACAGCGATCCTCCTGCCTTAGCTTCCCGAGTGATAATGTACTTTGTAACTAAATTTTCTTTGTTTTAAATCTAATCCAATACCACTCATCACATTTTCTTCAGTCTCTTTCATTTACTTTGAAATTTTACTGATTTTTCTTTCTTTCTTTCTTTCTTTCTTTCTTTCTTTCTTTCTTTCTTTTTTTTTTTTTTTTTTTTTCCTTTTTTTTGGTACTGGGAATCAAACTCAGGACCTTGCATTTATGAGGCAGGTGCTTGTGCCATTGCGCTACATCCCCAACTCCTGTTTATTTAATGTCATTGTTGCAGGATCTTTAATTTTCCTATCAGAAGTTGCTTTGTTAGTGTCATTGATGTTTCTCCTTTCTTCCTTCTCCTTTCCCTTCATCTTCTTCTTCCTTCTTTCTTCGTAGTCATAGCACTTGTGTTTTTGAGGATTTTTGTTTTGCTCCTGGTAAAGGCTTTGATCACAGCTGTCCTCTGTGAGCAGTGGTACCCAGGAGACTTGCATGAGCTGCTGAGAGGAAGGTGGTAGGCCTGGTGATTGGCAGATGAACCTCACAGCTCCTGGAAGAGGTGGGGGATGGGATAGGAGGAGTGTTTTTTTTTTTTGAGAAAGGGTCTTCTCTGTAATTCAGGTTGGCTTTGAACTCACTATATAGTCCAGTCTGGCCTCAAACTTGTGGCAGTCCTTCTGCCTCAGCCTCCCAAGTGCCACTACACCCAGCTAGGTTTTTTTATAATACTAGTTATGGAACCCAGGGCTTTCACACTGAGCTGTTTCCCTAAGACCTTTTAAAGTTTTATTTTATTTTGAGACAGGATCTTGGTAAGTCACTCAGTTGCCCAGGCTGAGCTCAAACTTATGATCCACTTGCTTCAGTATCCAAGAATACTATGCAGAGATGTACTACCACCAGCTAGGCATGCTCATTTTGAAGTCTTGTTTTTTTTAACCAAGATAATACAGCTCTACTGACTGTGACTAATGTGTTTTCTTGCAGCTCCTGTATTCTGTGCAGAACCCGCTTCATGAGTTCATAGCCACTGTGCAGACACGGCATGAAGATAGCCCTGTCCACCGGGGTGTGCTTTCCACCCTGATCGCTGCACCTGTGGTCGAGATCAGCCACCAGCTGCGGAAGGTGAGGTGCTGATCTGGAAACTGCCCAGCCTCTTTTTTTGCTTACAAGATGCCATTTCTACCAGTAGCACAAGTTCAGTTTTTCAGACCTAAACACTCATAGAGGGGTGTGATTTTCTAGTACTGCACTCTCTGTTCAGGCCAGTGGCATTTGGGAGTCATGTACAAGGGCCTAGGATGGAACTGGGTTCACATTGGGGTATTTGTGTTAGCTATCTTTGGGGCACACATGTCCAGTCGTATTCATGATGGGTCCATAACTCTTATATCTCACTGTTAGATGCTCTGATTTGAACATGTTGTGTTCCTGCTGGCTTGAACCACCAATGGTACATGCATGACTGTTCCGCCAGGTGGCTTTTTATTAATTTTGTTAGATTAGGTCCCTCTGTATCACCAGTGGTACAAGCCATCAATTGGGATAGTCATGCATGTGCCACCTGGGGTTCATATTGACAAGTACGGGTTAATGTGTAATTTTTAGTGTTATTTTTCATGACTGAGGCTCAAGTGCAGATTGTGCTTGTGTGACTTGGCAAGTAAAATGCAGTAATCACTGATGATAGTATTTTAGCTTACTTATGCATGTGCCTGTGAAGACAGCTTTCATGGGTATTAAGCAAACCTGTAAGTTTTCTTAATTAGCAAGTATGCTGCTCAAGACAATTTCTCTTCCCTCAGTGTGGCCCACGCAGAACCAAAGGTTGGACACTCAGAGGCTTTTTTTTTGTTTTTTTCCAGTACTGGGAATCGAACTCACAACCTCGTGCTTGCCAGGCAAGCACTGTGCCACTGAGCTAAATCCCCAGCCCCTCAGAGGACTGAATGAGTTGGTCCTCTTTGGTGGTGGTGGTGGCATTGTGCCTGGAACCTGAGGTCCTCACACTGAGCTACATTCCCACTCCTTCTTTGTTCTTTTATTTTGAGACAGGGTATCACAACATTACCCTGGCTGAGCTTGAACTTTCAGTCCTACCTCCGCCTTCCAGAGTGCTGGGATTATAAGCATATGCCACCACACCTGACTGAGTCAATTCATTTCTTAAGACTATTTCCTGGAGATGAAAGTGGGGATAGTCAAGTGAGCAGAATGTAGTAGTTCTTACCTCTGCCTGCTGTATTATTACCTTTCTCTTTTTCATTTCTAAGCACAGGAGATTTAAATTTCTGACATCAATTTCAATAAATCATTTTTTCTTGCATATTGGCTCATTCTCTTAGAAGTAACTATAGTTGGATGGAGGACAATTATTAATGCAGAAATTATGGGTCTATTTGGTGGAAAAGGACATAGCCAGATGATGGTTCAGAATGTCGTTTCCTTCTTGTAGATGTCCTCTGAGGCATGAGTCATGCCTAAGAGCAGAGGTGACGATGAGTGTCTGCTGACGGGGAGTGTCATCGAGTTCCATGCGTTTGTACATGGTCCTGTGCCATGTAGCCACTGGCACATGTCTGAGGGATGTGTTGCTAGGTGATCTCAAGGTGCTGCGTTCTGTAGTTGCTGACATAGATGTCACAGGTGGAACAGTCTCTAGAACCTTCTACCTGTAGTGTGTTGTTGACCAAGACATTGAGAACACAGCATAAGGCTTCTATGTCCATAAAAATTATATGAATTTGTAACAAAATCATGACTAAAAAGATGTTTACTAAATTCTAAATTAAATGAAATTAAAGCTCTCTATCAAGCTTGAAGGGGAGGGTCTAGTTTAAGGAAGTAATTACTAGATGACACAGAATAAAATCAAGAGTGACTTACTCCATGGAGCTGTGTAGCTGAAGTTGTAAGTCATTGATGCCTTGGCCGGAACCTCCCTTGCCCAGCTCAAGAGGAGTCTCATGGAGTGGTGTTTGTCCTGTGTCTTCCACACTGCCTCATGCTGTGCTGCAGAGCCGAGCAGTGTGGCAGCCCCATGCTCCTGCGTAGCCCCTGTCCTCCTGAGGCACCCACTCTTGTGCTCCTCAGGAGAGATGCTTGCTGCCCTCTGTGTGTCCTCGGTCTGTGATTATGGGTTTGTCTCTCTTCACATTTATTCTACTTGCTTTCCTCTCGTGTACTAGGGAGCTTTGTTACACGTGCGGGTTAAATTGACTGACCTGTGGTTAGGACATCCCTCTCTTTGTGTCTTGTAATGCTTTCATCATGAAGTCCATTTTGATATTTTCATAGCCATACTGGTTTTCCTATGCTTGGAGTTTGCTTAGCAAGTCTGTTTTTGTTTTTTCTTTTTTTTTGTTCTTTCTTTGTTTTCTTTTTGAGACAGAATCTCGCTATGCAGTTGATGCTGGCATTGAGCTCACTCTAGCCCAGGCTGGTCTCGAACTCAAAACCATCCTCCTGCCTCTGCCTCGCAAGTGCTGGGATTACAAGCATGTGCCACCACGCCCAGCAGCAAGTCTATTTTGATCTTTTCACTTCTACTTGTCTTTATATTTTAAGTGTTTATTCTAAATACTATATGAGGGGCTGGGGATTTAGCTCAGCGGCAAAGCGCCTGCCTGGCAAGCGCAAGGTCGTGAGTTCGGTTCCCGGTACCGGAGAAAAACCAAAAAAAAAAAAAAATACTATATGAGTGGTTTTAACAACTCCAATCTGACAGTCATTGCCTTTATTTGGGGTACTTGTAGCCCATTTGATTCAGTGATACTATTGATATGTTTAGACTTAAGGCAGTTATTTTAGCGTTTGTTTCCTTTGGTCCCATCTGCTCTATTAGTATCTCTTCTCTTTTTTTGTTATTGCTTCCTGTGATTTTTGATGAGTCAGATGTTTTTATTGCTGTTTGATCTTCTCTGTTGACTTTATATTATTCTTGGTGTAAGTTTTTTTGACTTCCTTAGAAGTTTTCATATATGCATGTTACACTTGTCACCTCTACCTTCAGAAATCAGCATCATCACATACCTCATAGGAATCTTCTGACAATATTCTTCCCATTAGAATCCTTCTGCCTGTCTTCCTGTGATCAGACATTTCACTTCTAGACTGGCTCAAAATATGAGGATACATTTTTATTAATTTTTTAACTAGTCAATAGTCTTGTCTCAGTGTATCTAAATATATTTACTATACTTTATTTTAAATTTTTTATGTTTTTATTTTGTAATTTAATTTAGGACCTTGATACAGAGCTATGTCCCCAGCCCTATTAAATTTTTTTTTTAAATTTTGAGACAAGTTCCCCAAGTTGGGCTTAAACTTTTGATCCTTCCGCCTTACCCTCTCAGAGTGCGGGGACTATAGGTGTGCACTGTACCTGGCTTATTAACATTTACTTAAAGATTAACACAGCGTAATGATAAATGGTGCTGTTTTGTATCTAATAATAATTGTCTTTAATATTCAAATGTGTGTTATAACTCTAGCAGAGAAAAACAGGAAGGCTTGTTAGATGTAGTGTCTGACAAGAAGTCTCAAAGATAGCCAAGAATAAAGCAAAAAACAGGGAGAGATGCAGGCTGAGATGGTCCTCTTCATACCCCAGTGATTTTAGACGGAGAACAGCAGCAATCAGCCTGGCCTGGGGAGTGTTCTGCATTTAGACCAGGAGCCACTTGCTGAGGAACTCATTCACCAGTGCTGGACACCTTGTGTAACCTTGTGTGGCCGATGGTAAAAAGTATCATCCAGGGAGGCACCACTGAAGGTCTGGCTCAGCGCTTCACTGTGGGCTCTACCCCTCCGGGCAGGAGGTGTTACGGGTGGTGAGTGCTTCCAGGCCAGGCTCGCCGCAGAGTTGAGGCTGAGGCTGCTGCGCTGAGATGGCAAATCCTCATCCACAGAAGGAAGAGGAAGCGTGGAATTTGCTTAGCCCAGAAACTTCACAGAAGATGATATAGATATCAAAGACCACTTGACTTTGACAAAGGCTTGCTCAGGGACATGTCTTTTATTTCTCTCACACTGAGACTTCTCTGTAGATGATTCATAATTATTATAGATACTTCAACGCTTAATAAAATCATTCTTTTCAGGTTCTGGAATGCTTTCATCAGGTATAGAAGAAAACCCAGACCCCAATGTAAAATAAGCAATTAGCTCGGCCTCCATTAATAATTTACTGCCTTAAAACTTGTTTTAGGTTTCTGATGTAGAAGAGCTAACCCCACCGGAGTATCTTTCTGACCTTCCACCGTTTTCAAGGTGTTTAATAGGAATAATAATGAAGTCTTTGAACGTGGTCAGGTAATCATCTTCTCGTTATGGGTTCCAAACATTTTGTCTCATCAGATTCCCTTTCCCTCTCAAATTTTCAAAGGTACATCTTTTTTGAGAAAAATATTCTCAGAGAATGTTTTCCTCCATTTACACAAGAAAAGCCTAATTTTCTGTAAAATATTTTCATCGAGTCTCTGATTATGTTACCGTAACTGAAATTCAGTGAAGTGGGGAAAAAATGTGAATGTGGTACCATATTGATTACTGTTTACTTTCAAAACACTTCACCAAGCTAAGCATCAGTGTAGTTCTGTTCCATGCACCACTGTGACCCATTTCCTGCTGTGTCACTCGAGCTGTGGCACATGAGGGTAAAGATGCAGCGGGAGTGGCTGGCAGACCCACATCTCTGGAGCTTTCTGGCAGGTGCATCTGTGAAAATTCAGAAGGTGCTTTTGTTTGGCAGTATGAATTTTCAATGCCCTCTTGTAATTAACCTTTCTGTGTGTGTTCCCGCCTGCATTGAGGATATGCAGAGTAACTCTTTCTCACTTGCTGCAGTGTTCCTGTTCTCTTTCTAGCAGGGTATGTGTGCTTTGGGTTTTTTGGGTTTTTTTGATGGGGCGGTGGGGTTTGGTGGTCCTGGGGTTTAAACCCGGGGCCTTCAAACTGAACTACCGTCCCACTTTTCTTTTTATTTTTTATGTTGAGATGAGGTTCTCATTAAGTTGCCCAGCTTGGCTCAAACTTGTGGTCTTCCTGACTTTACCTAGGTTACACACCCAGCTCATCACCTGATTTTAATGACTCACTTGCATGGGTTGACCTGCTGCAAGTGAAGAGTAGAGGGCCTGTTGGGTGCATTTCTCTTGTTACCTGAACAGTGGCATGTGATTGTTGGTAAGCCTGCCTGTGTTAGACATGTACTGTGGAGTAACTGCTGATGCTTGTTGATTTTTACAGATCATTTCTGAGTGAGTTGAAGGCATGTGTGACATCCGGCGATATTGAAGGCATTGTGTGCCTTACTGCAGTTCTGCACATTATTTTGGTTATTAACAAAGGTTGGTCACGTTGTCTGTGCTTCATCTGGGTGTTGCTGGGTATACCTCACCCCGCTGTGAGGACTCTCATCTCTCACGTTGACCCTTCCCCACCAAGACAGGCTTCCCACAGCCTTTCCAGCCCGGCTCCTGGTGCTCTCTAAAGATAGTGCTGCCCGCCAGGATTTCTTCTCCTTTGTTAACCTGACTCTGTATGCTGAGCTTCCCGCTCTTCTTCCATTCAGTTCCTATCCACCTCTCACTGTCTGCTGTTGGCACACTGAAGCACCCCTCTATACTCAGAATTGAATTTTTGTTGACTTACTGGCTGAGCACAGTGGTACAGGCTGTAGGACCAGCTATTCAGAAGGCTAAGGCAGAAGGATCACTGTGAGTTTGAGACCAGCCTAGACTACACACCCTGTCTCAAGTAACAAAAAAAATAAATAAATTTTAAAAAGAAAGAAATAAAAAGAAAGTGATGTTAGAATATTCTTCATATAAACAGACAAAGAAGTTTTAGATTTTAGAACATTTTAGATTATGGGTTTCCAGATTAGGAATGCTCTGTCTGTATAATACTTTCTAACTTGCTGGACCCAGTTTGGGCACAAAGAAGACTTCTGAGGGGATCGCGCCCTACAACCTGAGCTGAACTGCATAGAACAAGTCACGTTCCATACCAGGAGTATGGGCCTGGACCTTCACAGGCATTTCATAGTCCATGATATTTACACTGGTGAATGACTCAGAATTATGCTAGTTGTCGTTTCCATTTATTGTCATAGACAGAATACTTCCCACAGCAGCGTCCAGGGTGAGTTCCTTGTGGACACCACTCACAGCGGATTCACTCTTACAAGCATTCAGCCTTCACAGCACTCTGTGAAGGATGGCTTTGGTCCACAGCTGTAGGGGTCACCTTAAAGGGAAGGGGAAATACACCCTTGTGTGCCACAGAGTGTATCTGTTCTGTGTGGTGACAAGCATTCAGCCTTCACAGCACTCTGTGAAGGATGGCTTTGGTCCACAGCTGTAGGGGTCACCTTAAAGGGAAGGGGAAATACACCCTTGTGTGCCACAGAGTGTATCTGTTCTGTGTGGTGATACTTTCTCTGTCTTCAATACAATCTTCTAGGTAAACACAGAAGTTCAAAAGTGAAGGAGGCTGCAGCTACTGTCCACAGAAAGCTAAAGATGTTCATGGAGATCACTTTGGAAGAAGATAGCTTTGAAAGGTACGGTGCGAGGTGTCTCCAGCCATAGCCCCATGGAAACTAAGTGTGTTTGGGATTGTGGTTTCATCCCTGCAGGTGAAAGCCTCTGGTGTAAGGATAGAGACATCTTTATTTAATTTACTTATTAATTCCATCTTCACAAAGAACAAAGCTGTTTTTAGTCTTGGGATAAGGCTCAGTGGTAGAGCCCTGGCACCACACATTAGAGTTGTTTTTTGTTTTTTTATTAAGAGCAGTTTTAACTTCACAGCAAAACTGAAATGAAGATAGAGATTTTCCATACATTCCCTTACCACTAAGTATCCCCACAAACCCCCACTGTTGATATCCTAAACCAAAGTGATGAGCTGACAGACATTATTAGCCCTGAGAAGCTGACAGGCAAACATCATCATCCCTGAAAATATATTGTTTGTATTAGAGTTCACACTTGGTTTCATATATTGTAAGAGTTTGGGCAAATGTGTGATAAGTTGTATGTACCACTGCAGCACCGTGCAGAGTGGTGCACCTGCCCTAATAATCCTCTGTGCTCTGTCTGCTCATCCTTCCCTCCCTCTAAACCCCTAGAACCAATACATACATCTGTGTTTGTGTGTGTGTGTATGTGCACATTTGTCAGTTGGTTCACATAATTATGGAGGCTGAGAAGTCACACCATATGCTACCTATGGAAGCTATAGAACCAGAGAGGTCAGTTTTAGTTTCTTTAATAAAAAGTCAGAAGTCAGTGCTCAGTCTGAGTCCAGTGTACTGAGACCTAAGGAAGGCAGTGGTGTGACTACTCCAAGGCTAAGATTCAGAAGTGTAAGATTTTCACCTTTGTTATCTCCAAGGAGTTTTATAGTTGTTTCAGCATTCTTTGTTGAGAAGTCTATCACTGTGTCATTGAATTCCCTTTGCTTCTTTGTCAGTGATAACTGACTATATTCATGTTGGTCTAATTCTGGGCTCTGTATTCTTTTCCACTGACTTTCTTGTCCATTCTTTTGCTAATACCACATTGTCTTGATTACACAGCATTACAGTTTTTTAAATTGGGTAGCATTAGTCTTCTAACTTTGTACTTCAGTATGGAGTTGGCTATTTTGAGTCTTTGCCTCTTTGCATAAACTTCAGAAATTTGTCAATATCCAATAATAATTTGCTGGAATTTTGACTGGAATTCCATAAGTCTGTAGATGAAGTTGAGAAGAACTGACTTCTTGACAACACCGAGTCTTCCTGCCCATGACTGTGGACTTGCTGTCCATTTGTTAGGCTTGTCCTTGATGTCTTTTATCAGAGTTTCACAGATACTGTTGTGTATATCTTCTGCATATTTTCTTAGATTTATACCTAAATATTTTATTCTTAGGGGTGCCAATGAAAATGGTGTTGCATTTTTAATTTCACATTCCATTTGTTTGTCCCTGGTATGTAGGATAGAGATTGACATGCATATTAATCTTGTATCCCATAAAGTTAGTATAGTTGCTTATCCCAGGAGTTTTCTTGTTTCTTTAAACTTTGCGCAGTCAGTCATGTCATCTGAACAAAGACAGTTTTATTTCTCCCTTCTTAATCAGTACACCTTTTTTTCCCTTTTTCTGTTTCATTAAGTAGGACTTATAATACAGTGTTCAGTAGGCGTGGTGAGAAGGTACCTTCTTCCCTTAGCCTGACTGTAGTGGAAAACAGTGTCTCACAATTAACTGTGATGGCTATAGACCTTTTGCAGATACTGTTTATCATGTTGAGGAAGCCCTCTCTATCCTTAGTGTATGGGTGTTGGGTTTTGTGATGTGGTTTTTGTGAATCTGTTGATATAATCATGTATTCTTTTTCTCTGTTGGCCTGTTGATGTGATGGAAAGTATGAACTGGTTTTTGTGTATTGAACCAGCCTTGTATACCTGGAATAAATCCCAGTTGGTCATGGATTTATTATCTCATTCTTTTTCTGCATTGGATGCCATTTGGTAATACGTTGTTGTAGAATTTTGCATCTGTGTTCATGAGAGATACTAGTCTATAGTTTTCATTTTGTGTAATATCTGTCTGGTTTTGGTATTAAGGTAATACTGGCCTCATATAATGAGGAATACTCTTTTTATCCTCTGCAAGAAATTATAAAAAATGTACTTTTTTTTCCCATAAGCATTTGGTAGACTCCACCAGTAGAGCCATCTAGACTTGGTGCTTTCTGTTTTGGAAGGTTATTAATTATTGATTCAATTTCTTTAATAGGTTTAGAACTATTCAGTTTGCTGTTGTGAGCCTTAATAGGTCTTTTTATTTTAAAAATTATTTTATGAAAAAAACACCAAAATTTCATAATCAGAATAATAATAGCTCCTATACTGTATATCATTGTCTTCCAGATTATCTTCTTTCTTTTGTTAGGTTTTGGCAGATTGTGTCTTTTAAGTGTTGGTTTAGCTATGTGAGAACGTTAGGTAGGAGGATTGCAAGTTTGAGGTCAACTTGGATAACATAGCAAGACCCTGACTCAAAAAGGAAAAAAAAATGTTTTGTATTATATAGGTTATCAAATTGATGATTGTCCTTTCAATATCCATAAGATTTGTAGTGATGTCCTCTCTTTTCTTTTCTTTCTTTCTTTTTTCTTTCTTTTTTTTTTTTGTGTGTGTACTAGGAATCAAACTCAGGACTTCAAGCTTGCCAGGCAGGTGCAGTGCTGCTGAGCTCTATCCCCAGTTCATTTCTGACATGAGTATCTATATCTTTTTTCTTAATTAGACTGACTAGAGCATGGTGGTGAACCTATGGCATGGGTGCTGCAGCAAGCACACAGCCTGCTCAGTGATGATGACGTGAGTTGTATGAGTTGTTTTTTCTAAACTAAAACCTAGTATTCAGGTTTAATTACAGCCTTGGAACTGCAATAAATAAGGGCTTTTGGGTTGTAGTTTGGCGCCTTGGTCTCTAAAAGGTTCAACATCACCAGACTTACCTGTTAACCAGGCTTACCTATTATTTGTATTTTCAAGGAACTGGCTTTTGGTTTTGTTGATTTTTTTTTTTTTTTTTTTTTTTTTTTTTTCCCCTACTGATCTCCTGTTTTCAATTGTACTGGTTTCTGCTCTAACTTTTATTACTTCTGTTCATCTGCTTACTTTGGATTTAGTATGTCCTTCTTTTTCTCTTTTCCCGAGAGAGCAGTTTGGATAACTGATGGCAGATCTTGTTTTCTGATACTTGAGTTTAGAACTACCCTGTCTTCTTGATGACCTGAACTATTGTTCTTATGGAGGCCCCTGTTTGTCTCCAGTGCTGCTTTTCCCTTCAGATCCGTTGTGTTGGGTGTCAGAATCACACTGTTGTTCTGTGTGTGTCCGCTTACAGGAGGAGGCAGCAGCCAGCCACACAGTGATTTGGATGAGAAATTTTTAACAGAATTGGTGTGATGGATCATTAAGAGAATTCTAAAGGTTACCCAGAGGGGAGTAGAGTCCCCAGGAGGAGTCCCAGCACTGGGACCTGGCTCCCTCAGTGAAGTCAAGAGGGTTGCCAGAGCTGGAGCCTTGCTGCCCACAAGTCTGGATCAGGTCAGTCCCACCATGCTCCCTGGGAGGAGACTTTGAGCAGGCTAGAGTGCAGGGAAGCCAGGTGTAAGTAAAGGAAATGCACTTAATTTTGTACGTTATTCTCAAACTGTTGAATACTTACTACATTTACCTTAGTGCAGTTAGACTTTGCCACTCTGTATTTTAAGAAGAAACTTGGCAGACTGTCAGTTTTATGAATTTTTGAGGGGCAGTGATTGGGTCTAGAGATGATAGAAACACACATGCATTCCAAAAAGCAGAAGCAAGATTAAATAGTATGATCAGAATCACCAGCTGGGAATGTCAAATTATTTTCACAGGACATAACAGTATTCTCAGAAAGTCCAAGCATTTTCTAGCATTTCCTTATTGGAAATAGCACTGGCAAGGATGACCATATTGCCTGTGAAGTGTTGGCAGTGTGCTGAAGATACAGAAGACTGCTTGCTCTTTGTTAGGGTATCTTTCGTTTCTACCTGCACATAGAAATCAGTGCTAAAAAGAATCACTCTGAAAGAGAAATGAAACAAAGTCAATCTAATGGAAGGTAAACAACTGAGATTTTAGGGTACAGTTTTATTCTAACTTTTTCAGTGCTGGAGATTGAACCTAGGACCTCTCAGTGCTAGGTAAGTGCTCTACCACTGAGCTATATCCCAGCCCAAGACTATTTTTAAATAGTGTTGATTTAATGTTTGGACTAGAGACACCAAAACCAGTAAGCACCTTTAGAAGCTGGGAACCCCGTGTTGCAGGCAGTATTTCAGGCAGTGGGCATTAATGTAGAGGTGAGCATTTTCTGAGTGACTAGTCTGTTTCCTCCCCAGCAGAGTTGATGTCTTGGCAGTGGTCTATTGGGTGCTGAGTAAAAAGTGCCTCTCATTGTGGTTTGATTCCTCGGTTAGTATGGGCTACTGTAAATTGACATGTTTCCTCAGGAGGAACAAGTTGCATTTGCCTACACACTGCTGCATTTAAACGTCAAGTATATTGTATTTATTACTTTAAATGAAGACAGTGTTAAGTTTGTAATTTGAGGTTGCAAAGTATGACTTTTTTTTAAGATGTGTGTTAGCTCATGGATTTTCCCCACTTTGCAAATGAACTATGATTATATTAGAAGCATATTACTCACCAAAGGAATGTTCAGAGCGGAGGTTGCTGTGAGTATGAGGCTCTACGTCCAGTGGTCACATGAGCACTGTCACAGGGCTGCTGCTGATGGCCTGAAAGGTGGGCAGTGGCCCGGAGACCTGATGCTAAGAAACTTGTGATCTCATGGATTCCTCTCACTAAGTTTGTGTGGGATTGATTTAAACACGTGCGCAGCACACACACACACACACACCCCACCCCCACCCCCCTAAATAGCTCTGGATAAAACTTACGAATTCCAGAGGTGGCAAGAGGATCTTGAGATTTGTCTAGACTGCTGGCCAGCACAGGCGCTGCTGAGTGGTGGACAGTGGTGGGTAGGACTGAGAAGCAAGCACAGTGGAAGGTAGAAGACTTCAGTGATTATCTTTTGTTAACTACAAGTGGCTGTGTGTTGGGATGGCTTGGGTTACTGAAAATATCATAGAGTGGGTTTCACCAGTTTCTCACAGTCTCATAACAACTATCTAAAATGGCAGATCACTGAGCTTGGTGCTGGCCTGTGGTCATCTGCAGGAAGTGAGGTCAGGGAGATACAGGATGTCAAAGCCTGCTGAGTAAGTGACTGAGGGAGAAAACAGATGTGGGATTATCTCTGAGGAGGATACCTGGGAATAGACCAACCAGGCAGCATGCCTTGAACCACCGCGGAGTTGTTAGACCATAAAGAAAAAGGAATGATGGTGAACCATGCACTTCGTAAATCGCTGTGTTTGGACCTCTAACAGCAACACAGCACTGGCTCTGCCTGCAGCTGGCCTCAGCGAAATGAAATAGATGCTGCAAGGGAACGCAGGGCCCATCCTGGCTTGGTGGATAGGGAGGAGGGACAAGTTGTCAGAGGTGTGAAACAGCAAGGTCTTGTCCATGCTGGTGTGTGACGTAGGTGTCGCTTATCTCATTTTATTTTTTCAAAGTTGATTTGCACTAGTACACCTTTGCAGAACGTGATAACATTCATTGTGGGGAATGGGTAATATCCACACCACAACCTAGTACTTTCTACATGCCCTTCCTCTGCCCCTCCCTCTCCTGGTCCTGTCCATTTGAAAAAGACCTGTGTCCTTGTTTCCTATTTTCTGTGTTTTTCTTTGCTTTGCACTTATATTTTGGCTTTCTCATATAGGAGAAACCTGCGATATCGAAGCTTGTGTGTCTTGTTTTCTCGTGCAGTATAGCAGCTTGGGTAGGGTACAAGGAAGAAGGGATGATGAGCATGTGTTGTGCTGTGGGTCTTCTGAGGGGGGCGCTTACTGGCTTGGCACCACCTGATGAGCGGCCCATACAGAGTTGGTGCCTGATTGCACTGTGCCAGGCTCCTCTCAGGTAGGGCTCTGATCTGCTTAACACAAGTTACTTCACCTTTGTTCTTAAATGTGTCTAGTTGCACACCAGATTTACATGCTACTTCTGAAAAGGTACATTTGCCACTTTGCCTTTTGCTGAGTCTTTTTTCTTTGTGTTTCAGATTTCTCTATGAGTCATCCATGAGGACTTTGGGAGAGTTTCTGAATTCCTGATGAAGACCCCATCTTTGGATTTGTAGACGTAGGAAAAGGACTCACAGAAGTGAAGTGTGTGTGTGTGTGTGTTTCTGGCTGTTAATGCTGATAATAGGGTAGGATGGGAAGTGGGCGTGAGCTGAGAACTCTGAAGTTCCCAAAGGTTTGCTCAGTGCCTGTGTAGATAATATATTTAATATAGAAGATTCTAGGTGCCAATGGTGCCGAAATCATGGTGCAGAGAAAAAAGGACACTTTTCCAACAAATTTGGTTATTTTAAAAATGACTTTTTATATGTATACGCTATTTCTTGGAGACAACGAGTAATAAAGCAGTGACAGCCTGTTTGTGTGCTTCATTTAACTGTTCATGAGTTTTCCTGTGGGGCCAAGGCTGCTTCCAGGGCTCCTGCACTGTGGCTGTGGTGGCTCAGTCTACTACACTAGAGGACCGCTGAGCACTGTCACAGCTGGAGCTGTTGACCATCGTCTATGACCTCTTCTCTCCTGCCCTGCAGGCACCAGGTGGTCTTGGCGGCAGACACCTGGGAACAGACTGGGGTTAGTGCTGCTTGACCTTCATGTTTACTTTATCTTCCTCAGCCTCTGAGCAAGAAGGTTAGGAAATCCCAGTGTTCCCTGCCTGTACATCCCTGAGTAGATACAAGAAAGGGAATTGCTATATGTAGGAGCATTTAGGATTGTTCAAGGTGCACCTGAGAAACAGGAGGTGAACGCTGGAGTACTACTGCAGCTTGGTTCAGTTAATTTAGAAAACACAACTTTTCTGGACTTTCAGTTTGTGAACTGAACTATGTTCTATAGTGGTGAGTGACACTGTACTGGGGATACATTTTTGTCACTCTGGATACTTCAGAGTCACTGATCAGGAAAGGTGTATGCTAATTCATTGTGCAGTTAACTGAGAAAGAGATTGATATTGCTCCCCCTTTTCATTCTCCCCTTTTCCCACAGATACGCTATCTGATTTTGTAGTTGCATACATGCTCACCTAGAGCAGAGACCACATTCACCAGTTGGCTCGCCTCTCTGTATAGCCAGGTACCCCATGATAGTGAAAATGTCCAGAGGTGCCTTGAAAGACAGGCTGTTCATCCAGCACTCTGCCCACCCTGGAGTGGAGAGGAGTGCCGAGGGCAGAGCTCCTGTAGCTGTGCTGCTCTGTGGGGCTGGGGCAGTGAGTTTGAGCTCTCATCTAAGTCCCTGATACCTTCAGGAGGCCCGGAGACACAGGCTGGAAACTGAGAGCGGAGCCATACCTCACAGCCATACTGAGGACAAGTGTCGCGTGACTCCTTCCAGGCACATGTTTCAGTTGCTCAGTCACCTCCTGAACCCCATTCTGACCCTGAAGTCCTTTCTGTCCTGGGGAGCAGGTGGGGGATTGGAAGCATCGCTCTTGTGGCACTGACATCAAAGAGTGGCAGGACTGACTGAACTGCAGAGAACAAATACACGTGTTTTAAGCACTTTCTGCTGTGGAGGCATTCTGCAATGGAGAGGTCCTGGGAACACGAAATGGCAGTAAGCAAAGTTTAAATGGGCTGGGCAAGGTCAAGCACACCTGTAATTCCAGTGCTTGGAAGGCTGAAGGAGGATCGCTGCAAATTTGAGGCCAGCCTGGGCTACAAAGTGAGTTCAAGGCCAGCTGAACTGAACTACATAGTGAAAAACTGTCTCAAAAAGGCGCAAAAATAAATGATCTGCTGTCTAGATCAGTGGTTCTCAAGCTATAACCTGCATCAGGGGATGACTGGCCCCATCCAGAGGACGTGAGGTATGACAGTCTGCAGAGTCACCGCTGATGGGCTTCTTGCATCTGCCTGTTGGGACCTTCACTGCATGGGTCTGTGTGAGTACGTTCACAGGGTCTGCATCTGGAGTGGAGGTGTGGGCAGCATGTTAAGTGAGCCCCTGTTCTCCATACTAGTTGTGATGTTTTATACTTGCAGCGACTGCTCCACAGCTGTTCTCGGGGTTTGCAGTTCAGCATGTTCTGTGAGTATGGGATGACTTGCTGTGGCTTCATGTGCGTTGTGGCTGTTGGGCACTGGACACTTCAGTATTTGTGGGTCTGCGCTGGGGAAGTCACAGCTTGAGTTGCGCCCTGATCTGTTTCTGCTGTGTTCTGTCCTCCGTGTTACTGAGCTGTGAGGCCCTTTGTATGTCAGGGTGGTCTGTCTTCATCTGCTAGTTACTCATGCTCTTCTGGCACCTCATCTGTCAATTCTCTGCCTACTTCCTGTTTTCTCTGGGCTCCATGGTCCCACTGCTTGCAGCCCCTCCCACGCTGCATGGTCTGGGCTGTTTCATTTGAGGGTTCCCATGCATGTCTAGCCATCCTTTTTAAGAAATTATTTTTAAATTTTATTAATACATGTTTGCAGTACATGCAGTTTACAGTTATCTTGGGGAGTGGATACAAGTACATAATTCAGCTTGATTCTATTTTTAATCCCCTTCCCCTTCCCTCTTATCTTCCTCCCTCTTCCTTAAAATCTCCTTTTCCCATTTTCATTCTTGTTGATATTATTAATCTTATCTCATGTTTATAGTATAACATGTTTACATTCATTGAAGTTATTAGTTTTCTGCACATGGCATCTCTTTATTCTAGTTGTTTTCCCTTCCCTTCTCCTCTCAGCCTTGTTCTCCAGGACCCCTTCCTGTTCACAAGATATCTAGCCCTTTGTTTCCTTCTATCCATCCTACATTGTGCTGTTTGTTTGTATTTTGTCTTACTCAAGTGAAAGCCACTGTATAGTGATTAAACTTATGTGTCTGATTTGTTTCACTTAACATATTTTCCAGATTGATCCATTTTCCTACAAGTGTTTCAGTTTGTCCTTTATAGCTGAGTAGTATTCCATTATGTACAGATACATTTTATCTAATGGTTTGTTGATGGGTTTGAAGGCTACTTCCAGGATTTAGCTGTTATGAATTCTGTTGCTGCAAGCATTTGGTGTGCATGTATAGCTGTAGTATGACTTCTTTAGCTTTTTGGGAAAGATGCATAGAAGGGGTCATATGGAGTTTAGTTTTTTGAAAAAATCTCCATACTGACTTCCAAAATGGGTTATACTAGTTTATATTTTCACAAACAACAGGGTTCCTTTTCCACTGTATCCACACTAGCATCTGTTGCGATTGACTTCTTGATGAGGGCCATTCTTTGGTAAAAGATGGAATCTTTTTTTTTTGTACTGGGAATTGAGCTCAGGGCTGTGTGCTTGCCGGGCAGGTGCCGTGCTGCTGAGCTACATCCCCAGCCCAAGATGGGATCTTAGCATTGTTTTAATTTGTATTTCTCTAATGGCCAAAAATGTTGAACATTTTTTCATATATTCGTTGGCCAGTTATACTTCTTCCTCTGAGAAGTGTCCATTTCACTTGCCTATTTCTTGTTTGGGTCTTTTATTTTAGGTGGTACAGTTTTTTAATCTCATATAACCTTTCTGTAGCGTTACACTACCTTGTATTTGCTTTCCTTTCCATTTGTGCCTCAGGATCTGCTTTAGGAGAGCTGGGAGACATTGGGGTCTTCTCTTTTTTTGGTCTTTTTGAGACAGGGTCTCGCTATGCAGTTGAGGCTGGCCTTGAGCTCACTTTGTAGCCCAGGCTGGTCTCAAACTCGCAACGATCATGCTGCCTCAGCCTCTCACGTGCTGGGATTACAGGCCTGCGCCACCATGCCTGGCTGCCTTGGGGTCTTCTTTTGCCTTGTTTCCCGTGGTCCTATGTGTATGTATGTATATCTGAATTTATCTTTTTTTTTTTTTTTTTTTTTTTTTTTTTGGTTTTTTTCCAGTACCGGGAATCGAACTCATGACTTTGCGCTTGCCAGGCAGGTGCTGTGCCACTGAGCTAAATCCTCAGCTCCTGAATTTATCATTTATGACCCCCAAGCAATATGGATATTGGCATAGAGGGAAAACCAGTTGTCAGCCACTACTGTGTTACCTTGCTATAGAAATAAATTAAGCAACAACAAATCACATCAGATGTTAACTGGATATAAACAAACCCTCATGAACAGCCCTTATTGAACAAAGAGAAACGTGACTTTAGCAAAGACAATTTGGGCCACCCATATGTGGACCTAAAGTAGTTCAGACCACTAGTTGCTAGACGTAGGCAGCAGTCCCAGAGCTCAAACCATGAGCTCTGCACCTTATGCCTTCTTCTAGACTGCACCCTGTGACAAATATGCCTTCCACTCCTGGCCTCCCACAACAGAATATAGACGCTGTGATCCTCCTGATCTGGCGCGTGCCTCTCAGGAGATCCCCGTTCAGTTCTCCCTGTCTTCAAGCCTATCTCCCAGGCTGTTTCTCACCTGGTGTCTGTGGGGGGGTAACACTTCAGTCCTCAAGTGAAGCCCTCCTCCGGGGTTTTGGTCTGAGCAGGTTCGTCTATTGGTCGTCACCTCTATTGCCCTGTGCTGTGGAGACCCCAGGAGTGCAGGCAGCATCAGCTGGGGCCCCTCATCACTTTATCCTAAGAGCAGGTATAGAAAGGCAGGCTGGCAGTCTGGCCACTGAGGGGGTGTCAACTAAATGGAGGTCTTTCCATCCGAGACCTTCATGGCAGTGTCTCAGGGTCCGTCCCCGCTGACTAGTCTGGGTCTGTCCAGCTCCAGCCCTGCCTGGAGGGTGTTGGGAGCCACTGAAGCTGGAAAATAATTACATGTGCAGGACGAAGCCAGCCTGAGAACACGGGAGCTCCTCGAAGCATGTAAACAAGCCGTTGTAGCTTGTTAACTGATTGCTGGGTAGCGAGGCTGAAATTAATCAACCTCTCAAGGGTATAAATAAATGCTCTACTGTTCTTGGGTGGGTTCCCCTACTCCACTCAGAAGATGGGACCTCCACCTGATCCCAGCTTTTTGTCTCTTGTCTATTTTTTCCTCCTTCCCACCGCCATTCCTTCCCGGGGTACAGCAAGAACCCAAGGGAGCATTACAGGAGGGCATCCAGGTGCTGAGCAGGGGAGGAGGTATTGGTGCCCAGGACACGGAGATCTGAGGCTTTGTGCTGTTTGCACCCTCCTGCCTTCTGGGGGGATGTCTGGCAGCTGCCTGGCAGACTTGTTTCATTTCTACCCTCTTCCACCTCCCCAACCCTGGATGAGTTTGAAGCATATCCCATATGTGACTTTGAAGCATGTTCCATATAAAAACCAAATAATTACATAAATTAGATATTATATGGAAAAGGAAGGGGACCAAGGGATGGAGTGGGAAGAGAGGGTTGAAAGGGATTAAAACAAGATGTGTGATGTACCAATTCCATGATAAATGTAATCATAAGTAAAACTTTTAAAAATGAAAAGAATT